GCCTGGCGGGCAAAAATGACAGAAGCGTACTCACTCCGTGTCTCTTACATCCAGACACTGTTGGTGCATCAAAGCCGTTCGTTCGTTGTTGGACCCAATCGACAGAAAGCCACGAGGCAAGACATGCCATTCCAGTAGACACGCGGCGGGTCTAGGCCTTGGCTGCGACGTAAGAGGTCCCAACAAGCCACTCTATCGACCGTGATCTCCGTATTGGTTCGCATTTCCCGCCACAACGTTCACCGTCGCCGATCACCACGACTTGAGGCACCAGCACCAAGTGTCCCAGGCAACTGGCAAACGGTTGCTTCGGGTGGCATCGGCCACACCTCGCTGTCCCTTGATCGCCAGCCACTGGGGCCGCGTTGTGGTTGTGTTGCATTGGGTTCCGACCTGCAGCGCCGCAGACCTCTCTCTGCCTCCCTATTCCCGTCCTACCACTGTGCCATTGGTGGCTCACCGGCTCCCGAGCCGCGAGTGGTCGCCATCGTTCGCTCGAACTGCCATGCTGTTCGAGCTTCACAAGCTTCTCTTAGCTCGCCTTCCAGGCTGTCAAGGCCACACACTTGCCCCTGCAGAGTCTCTGCAGAAGCAGGTATTCGCGCGCGTCCACCTGCGTCTGGCCGAGATTGGCGGGGTTGCGCCATGCGTACAGCCCCGGCACCTTCGGCCCAGCCTTCCCACGCCATCAATGATCAGTGCACCGAGGTGGCCCAAGAATGGGCGTGGAGATGCTGCATTGGGCGTCTTATGGGAGGGAAAAAAGAGCTGACATGGCGACCAGCTGTTGGCTGGGCCTAATTTAGCACCGACATCGTCAAGCGTTGGTTTAATTCAGGCATGGCGGCGATGGGGTCGCTTGCGACGCAACTACCGCTACGTGTTTGTCCGTTCGACTGCATCATATGTAACCTGACGAAACGTAGACGAGGCTCACGATGCGGGGTATGATGTATCGGTCTGTCCATTGGATCGGACTAATTTGCTTGTTGGCAGCACGAGTTTCTTCTCATCAACGGACTAAGAACGCGCCTCTACCAGATGCGAGCACGTCGCCATTGGTCTGCGAGTCACAAGATTAGACCTACGCAATCCAACCACGATCCTACCTAGGAATCCGTCAACAGACGCCGCAGCCGTTTTCGTCAGATATCTAAAAAGAGCATGACTGATTTTGTCGGCCTCTTCTCTCCTTCCTCCCGAAAGAAGGCCGGCAGCTAGACATGTCGAGTGGCTGATACGGTTGTGTGTTTGCCGCCTAATATCACGACTCGACATCACTTGCTGGCCGAATATCCCTCTTGGGCCCCAGCCCAATCTTACAACTTAAAATGCCCGAGAGCATAGTGAGCCATATAACTCATAGGGCAAGCTCGTCGTCCAGTCGAAGTGCCGCATCTCACCCCGTGGTCCAACAGCTGCCCAGTTGCTGCCGAGATGGTCGCCCCTCTGTGATATCACAGAGGTTCCATCCAGCCCCGCCAGCTTCGGGTCGGTCGCCCGTATCCCAGGCGCCAAATGTACTACGTTAACGGGCAAGACGTCGCCTTGCTATCACGAAATATCCCTCTCCTGATTGAACGATGTCGCATCGCCCAAAGAAGCCCCGTATTTCCCCGAGCGCGGTTCCTGGAGATGTCAACAGCCTAAATCAGCCCCCAGGATCTTCCACCACCCACCGAAAGGACGATGCCATCACCACAGCTGTACCTTGACTCGCCACAAGAACAAACACCACGACCGACCCCTCCACCCCTTCTCACAATGCTGCGCGATTTCACGTTACGCCAGTTCGCGCCTGGTCACTCTTGTGCAACCACCAGGGAAATCTGACTCATTTTCTTTTCTCGGCTCCTTCATCTCCTCGTCCCAAGCAGCCATTCCCGGTCATCGCCACGTCGACCACGATCATCTATACGGCTTCGCTCTACTTCATTTCCCCTTGACCCTTGCGACCCGGCGCCAGTCCCACCAAGGACCCTTGGCCCTTGACCGTCCTCCCTCCCCCCCAGCCGCGACAGCCCTGTCATTTCGTGCGGCCCGACCCCGTAGTCTCTCCGCCTGCCCGGCGCAACTTTGTGATGGCCATGCTGCAGCAATCTGTCTTTTGCCCGTTTCACATGCCAGGCTCTCCCCCTAACGAAGAATGAGGCCAAGTAAAGAAACTGGAGGCCTCGTTCCATGCGCCGTCAGGGTTGCTGCACGTCCTCGCTCGCCTGGACGACCTACATACATATGTGCATGCAGAGACCCCGGCCTAGAACCGCTGACACTGCTGGTTTATGTCTATTGGTGGGTGCTCGCGGGGCGTAGTCGTGTGTTTTGTCGCCGTACCGTCTGATGTCACTCCCGACCTGCTGATAACTTTTTGTCTGATTCAAACCGCCTTGAGAGAAAACATAGTTCGTCTCCATGGGGCAGCGCTTCGTTGTCTGGCAGCCGACTGGCCAGCCCGGAACGGAGGATTTGATGCAACAGCGTCAAGGGGGTATATTTTGCCGTAAAATGGAGAGCCGAGGCCACGCGGGAGTGATACCCTGCCCAATCGTCTAGTTACACCATAGCCGAACCGCCTTGTCCTTTCCGCCGCTGCCGACCTTCTTGCCGTCGGGCGCCCAGTCCTGAGGAGTTGTTAGTCAAAGATGTTTGGCAGCAGTTTTAGGCGAGGCCAGGCAGGTTGGGGTCCTTACCACTGCATAAACTTCGTCTTGGTGACCGGGAAGGTCACGGACGAGCTTAAAGGTAGACATGGACCACACCTTGAGGGTGGTGTCTCGGGAGCAGGTGACGAGGAGGCGCGAGTCGGCGGAGAAGGCACTGCAGTTGAGGTCAGAATTTCTGATCAAGAATGTTATGGATAGTGCAGGCACTGACACTTGGAAGACGGGCCCGACGTGGCCGCGCAGAGTGGCCAAAAACCTGCCGTCCCGAGCGGCCCAGATCTTGATGTGGTTGTCCCAGCCCGCCGAAGCAACGAGGTTTCCGTCTGGCGAGAAAGTGACCTTGGACATGCAATTAGTATCAAGCGAATCTAGCGCCGTGTTGACAGGGGCCTCTCGCTACTCACATGGTTCACCTGCTTCTGATGGCCGTTCATCTTGGCCACGGGCTTGGTGCCCTGCGACGGCGAGTGGAGGTAGAGCAGGAAGTCGTCGGACGCCGAGATGAAGCGCTCGTCAATCTTGCCCTGGACCTTGGCTACCTTTTCGAACCGCTCCTTCGCCTTGGCCTTCTTGCCCTCGTCGGTGTCGGGAACGGGCGTGTGGTCGAAGAAGCCCGTCCGCAGCACGTGGTCCGTCGACAGCGCAATGTGGTTGACCCAGTGCGCGTGCGCCGTGAACGTCTGGACGAGGGTGCCCTTGGCCGCGTCCCACGCCCGGATCGTCTTGTCCTGGCTGCCGCTGAAGATGAGGTTCGTGCCGCCCCACTTGACGCAGGTCACGCTGGAGCGGTGGCCCGAGAGGACATGCTCCGTCTTGCCCGTGTTGGCGAGCCAGACGCGAATGGTGCAGTCCTTGCTCGCCGATGCGAGCCTCGGCGTGTCGTCCGTCCACAGGAAGTACGGCTGCCAAGCTGGGCGATTGTTAGTCTCGGGGAGAAAGAGAGAGAGAGAGTATGTGACGATAAAGGGGGTTGGTCCTCCCAAAACTTACCGATCTGCGTGATCCATTTCTGGTGGCCCGTCAGCGCACCGCCGCGCGCGACACCCTTCTCGGGATCCCATAACCTGATCGTCTTGTCCATGGAGCCGCTGGCAATGATCTTGGCGTCCGGACTCCACGCGACGCAGAGCGTCCAGCCCGTGTGGCCCGTCATCGTGTGCTGCGGCGTGCCCGTCTCCGTGTTCCATATGCGCACCGAGTTGTCGCCCGAGCCCGTCGCCAGCCGCGAGCTCGTGGCGGGACTGAACTGGGCCGCCAGGATGGCCTGGCCGTGGCCCGGTATCCTGTGCGCCATGCGGCTGACGGCCTGGACTTTGAAGACGGCCTGCGGCTCGGCCGTCAATGTGACCGTCGTCTCAAACGGGTTCGTAACGCCATGACTGCGGAGAAGCTCGAGAAAATTGGCGGGCCACGTGTCGATGATGATCTCCGAGTTGGGAATGTTGATGCGGAAGCGGTAGGGCAGGTAATCTTCGCGGTCCTATGGTTCAGCAGCGCGTCAGTAAGCAAGCTACCAAGCGCACTGGATTGCTGAAGCTCTCTTGTTCTCGGGGTTTCCCCTTCATACCTTGTCTAGTAGCGTGTTGACGAGAAGACTGAGGTTCTTCTCCGAGGCGTCGGCGAGGGGGACCTCAATGACCTCGGCGAGCTGTTTGCCGTCGCCGTCGACGAAGCGAGCCTTGAACGAGCCATCCTCGCCAGGCGCGACAGCCGTGACGTCTTGCTGGATCGTTGTTCGCTCGAGTTCTTCGCGCCTCTGGCGTTTCGAGGGCGGGGGTAGAATGGTGGCCATGTCGTGCGTTCAGGCTGGGTTCCGTCTCGCGCAGTGGACTGTCGCACTGTGACTTCTTCGTAGGACTCCGTGCTCTGACGGTCACTGAATGTTCTGTTGGCAATCTAATGAGCCAAGATAGTCCGCTGTAGAGGAGGGGCTTGAGGAACGGTGAAGGCGCAAGTCGTCGATGCTATTTTTTGGTGGGGCACTCGAAATTTCAGAGGAGCAGCGGCATGTCGGCCATTACATGTCCGACATTGTTTTTGCGCATACTGCCTGGCTATAAGCTAAGATAACGACAGCAGCACTAGACCCTACCTACCCATGCCTTGGGACAATCGACGCCCTGGACAATTCTGTGCCCATGAAAACGGTTATGAACAGAATAAAAAACCTCCCTTTCCGATCGTATTGAGCTCCGAATTTCCCTGAAGACCGCAGAGTGACCATGGAACTCTTCCAGTCACCGCCAATGCTAAACGCCACCGTTTGTCCGTCCTGAGACTCCTTCTTCCTATTTCCTTCGCTCATACCCAATTCGTCATCCATCCGAAACGCAGCCTTCAAGACGCACCGTTTGGGTTTCCCTTGGAACCTCCTTTTGGCGGCCGTCCTCGTCGTTTGGTTGGTACCGTGACGGGCGTGATGACCGCGCTCGTCTGCTGGGGCGTGCCTGCGTAGTGCCGGAAAATATTCTGCGCGATCGGCGCCGAATGCATCCCGAACTGGGGCACGGGGACGGGCGTCTGTTGGACGGGCGTATGTTGCATTGGTGCCTGTTGGACCGGCGTTGCCATGTGCTGCTCCCTGTTCATCTGATTGATCTGTCGCCGTCGCTCCGCCGCCTGTGCCTGTTCCTCCTCCTGCGTCTGTTGGAAGGGGTGCTTAGGAGCACCGCCCATGGGCGCGTACTGGGCCATGGGATGCTGCTGATGCTGTTGGTGGTGGTGCTGTTGCTGCTGATGGTGATGCACCTGTTGCTGAACCTGCTGTTGTACTTGGTGCTGCTGCTGCTGCGCATGTTGTTGCTGTACCTGCTGTTGCTGCGCCTGCTGTTGCGCCTGCTGCTGTTGATGCGCCTGCTGCTGCGCCTGTTGATGCTGTTGTTGTTGCTGCTGCTGCTGATGCTGTTGTACCTGGTGCTGCTGCTGATGTTGCTGCTGCTGGGATTGTTCAGCAACACGCCGTCGATTGCCCTCCTCGATTTCTTGGTGCTTTTTCTCTTGACGCGCCTGCCGTTCCTGTCGCTGAAGATCTTCGTTCTCGACGGCATAGATCGCAGCGATGCGCATTTGCATCTGCGCAAGGTTACCGATGCGTTCCGGCTTCGACATTCTGCGATATTCGCCCTTGAACTGGTGGAAGGTCTCGCCCGTGAGGCGCATGGCCGACGAGGACACCCCCGCTACAGCCAGCGCCGCTTGTGTATCGGGGTCAAGGGTCGGCGCTTCAGGCTCTGCAGAATTCGCGTCAGCACGATCCAGAAAGTCGTGTCGATTCAAAAGAGACTACATACCTTCGTCAGGATTCACAATCTCGGCATCACCATCCGCGTCAGCCTCCTCCTCATCAGAAGGCGGCTCTGGCGTCCGGGGCTCATGGTTGTGTTGATCGCAAATCACTGTCAGGACCCAGGCGCCAAGCGTCTTTCGATTGACGGCTTTGGCCCGCCAGGGACAGTTGGTCTTCTTGGTCGTCGTCTTGAGCTGGGTCGCGGTGCACTTGTAGGGCTGGCCCCCGCGGTCGCATACCAAGTCGCAGCGGACGACCTCGCTCCCCTTCTCGTAGTTTCCGGCGACCTTGTTCCTGTGCGTGCGCGACTTGACGACCTTGTAGCCGTCCTTCTGCATCGTCGCCTTGAGATCCTTGAAGAGGTCGTCAAAGGTGGGAAATGTTTGGCCGGAGCCTATGTCGACGGACCCCAGGATGCCGAACATGGTGGCGGGCAGACGCGCGTGTCTGCGTCGTCAGAGACAGCGCCGACGGTTCGATGAAGTGGTCGGGTGACGAGCGCCTCGGGGCGCAATCGTGTCGGTGTTCGACACGTTCGACAACGACGCGACAGAGGCGTCTGATCCTAGCTCGTGATCGAGTGAAGCCAGGGCACCTCGGCCAGTGGGAAGCTGTGCGGATTGATGCAACAGCCTGTGCAGAAGTCTGTCTTGACCTGGGAGGACGAGAGTGGATATGGGGAGAAATGCCCGCCTGTGGATTGGCTGCTTGGTGGGGAGCCGCTGCGTCAGTTCACTCGAGTTGACTGCCTTGCTGAAAGTGGTTAGCGCACAAACATTCCACAACAGGCAAGGCCTCCTCGGCCTACCCTTGCCTCCTGGCAAGCTGGGAGGGTGTACGTCCCAACAACGACATCTGGCAAGGCAGGCACTGCAGCCACCAACACTCTCAGCTCAGAGCTCTTTCTCAGACATCGCACAGGTAAACCCGTGAGGTGGCTCTTGCTGTGAATACCTTACCTAGGTTAGCACATAATGCACGACGGAGAGGCAAGTGCCCCTCACTTAGTTACTGCAGTTGGATGCGACTGCCTACTCTGTAATCTTTCCCTCCGAAGCAGACCCGTAACCTGGCAGACATTCTTTCGATCGAGCACGTCGCTGCTGGCTGCCAATCCAGTGACTGGAGTAAATCATTCTAGAGCATTGAAGTCTCCTTGCTTCAAGACAGGCGTAGTTCCCAAGTTTATTTTGTCCCTGAACTTGTGATGCCTCCGTCGCAGCTCACTCAGAGCTCCGTCCCGAAGAGGCAGCCAACAACCACAATGGCGGCAGCATCTCGTGGCTTCGAGTCGTCTTCCTACTTCAATCCCAGCCCTACCAACGCAGCATCTAGCGAATCAAGAGGCAACTCTGCATCAAGTTTCAGCCGAATGCCTCTGTACGAAGACGATGCTCTTGGCCATTCTCCCTTGTGCGGCGAAGAAACGCCTGCTTCACCCGACTCGCAGTGGACCTCCAACTCGACACCAGCTCTGACCCATCAGCGAGAGCAGGTTGGATCAGCATCCACGATCCGGGCCTCGAGTACCGTTTCCACTGTCCCGCACACTGCTTACACCAGTCGCCGATCCCAGACCCCCTTTCTCCGTGGGGACGAGGGCCGCCACGTCATATGCGCTGTTAGCGAGGCGCGAGGCATAACACCATCAGTCGGGGTGGCTTTCGTCAATATTGCTACTGGGGAGGCCATTCTCAGTCAAATCAGCGACAGTCAGTTCTACGTCAAGACTTTGCACAAACTCAACATGCTCGAGCCGTCGCACATTCTCATGGTTCCGTCGGCTTGCGCACCGAACCCATCATCCTACCTATACTATATGATTGAACAACACGTCGCTAGCGCGAAGATTGTCCCCTGGCATAGGAAGTTCTGGTCTGAGTCAGCCGGGTTGGATTACATCAGTGAATATGCCTTTCAAGGAGATGCCGAAGCAATCCAGGTCGCCATCCAAGGCAATTTCTTCACAACTTGTGCTTTTTCTGCGGTCTGTATTTTGTTGAAGGTAAGTCTACGATTTCATCTGACAAATCCATAGGTCATGAAACATCTCGAGGTTGAGCTTTCGCTCAACATCGTGTCGCACACATTGCGTATCCGGTACGAACCATCCGACCATACCATGATGATTGATGTGTCCGCGATCCAGTCGCTCGAGCTTGTACAAAATCTCCGGAACTCAAGATCAAAGGACTCTCTCTATGGCCTACTCAACCAGACCCTGACGCCGATGGGTGCTCGGAAGCTCAAAAGTGACATATTACAACCAACCACCTTGGTGGAAGATGTTCTGAAATGGCGTTACGAAGCTGTAGCGGAGCTGACCTCATCAGAAGATATGTTTATTGGGGTGCGGAAAGGTATGCCATCCTTCATTTTTCTTAGAGATCCTAGGCTGAGCCCAGCAGCTTTGAAGGCGTTTCCGGACGTCGAGCGGTTACTATCGAAGGCGAGTCATGATAAAGTTGCACATTGGCATTTGGTACTCATTCTGTCCAGTTGGTCATCATCCCGCAGAGACCATCGACCGAGGCATCGGAGTTCGCGTTGAACCAAGTCATTATGATCAAAGCGTTCCTAGCATCTGTTCCCAACATATACCAGGCACTTGGCCCTGCCCAGTGCCATTTGCTTGTCAAAATCCGTGAACTTTGTCGACCAGAGATGACGCAACAGGTTCAGGACCTCATATCAGAGGCCATCAACGCCGACGTGACTTTGATGAAGTCGCCTTTGGAGATGCGTAATGCCCGAATGTTTGCTGTCAAGGTTTTACGATCCGCCGCGTCACCCGGACTTAGTGATTCTAACGAGGCCTCAGTCAGGTTATAATGGTCTGCTCGATGTCGCAAGACAGACATACAAAGAGTGTACCGAGGATGTTCACAGATACGTTACTGACTTGAATAGTATGTCCCCTCCACTAAACCCGAATGTCCTGACTTTGTACAGGAACCTTTGAACTAGATGCCAAGCTCAAGTATGACACCACGCGGAGATACTGGCTCCAGCTCAGAGCAGCAGATTTTCAAAACCGCGCCATTCCGGACATTTTGGTCAACCGGGTCATCAAGAAGGGCCACATTGAATGTCTGACTCTCCAAATGAAGAAGTTCGATTTCCGCATTGCAGACTCCGTGACAGAAACCATGGGAATGGGAGACCAGGTGGTTCAAGAAATGCTCGACTCCATTCGAACTCAAATTGAACCAATGTTTCGAGTCTGTGACGCCATTGCGCTGCTTAATATGCTGGCATCATTTGCGCAGATTGCAATACAGAGGGACTACGTACGGCCTGTCATTAGTAATACTTTGGGACTGAAGGCGGCACGACATCCAATTCTGGACAAGGTGGGCTTGGTCTCCCAATTTTGCTTTCGTCGCCATTCCTACTGATGACGATCGTCCTAGACCCTGAATGATGAGTTCGTCCCGAACGACGTGTTTTCAAAAGAAGAGTACCGTTTCCAAATTATCACAGGCTGCAACATGAGCGGCAAGAGTACTTATATTCGCATGATTGCATTACTGCAGGTGATGGCCCAAATCGGCTGCTTTGTCCCTGCGCGTTATGCATCGTTCCGCATCATCCATCATATCTTTGCACGTCTTTCCACCGACGATTCTATCGAGGGGAATCTTTCCACATTTTCGTGTGAGATGCGAGAGATGGCTTTCATCCTCAGGTGACCGCAATGCGACGGAGGCCATGAAGCGCGGCTAACAGCTTTACAGGAACGTCGAAATGAACAGCATGGTCATCATTGACGAGCTTGGACGTGGCACAAGCACGCGTGACGGACTGTCCATTGCACTTGCTATGGCGGAGGCATTGATGCGAAGCCGAGCCTCGGTTTGGTTTGTGACACATTACGACAAGCTGGGTAACATTTCTTTGCACACAACATGTGCCTTTCCTCAATCGCTGACGTGAACATGGTTTTAGCTGAAGTACTTGGCAATCGCTTCGGAGTAATCAACCTTCATCTTGCCACGAGTACATCGATGACACCTCACGAAACCCCGAAGATGACAATGCTCTACACGTTGAGCTCAGGAAGGGTCCTTGACGAGCATTATGGCATCCTACTAGCCAAAGCTATGGGATTCCCAGACGACTTCTTGGAAGAGGCGGAGAGAGTCTCCAGAAGTTTAAAACAACAGCGCGAAGCCAAGAAGCAAAGCCCGGAGGCTCACAGAAGAATCAGTCGGCAGAAACTCATCTTGAACCTCCACGAACAACTCAAGCAGGCCTATGCATCGCAGTTGGATGAAGAAGCACTGGCCCTTCACCTAGAAAAGCTACAGGAGGAGTTCATAGCCCGGATTGAAGCTATAGAAGGTGACAGTGATACCGAGTCGGGTCCACATACTCTTTCGCCAATACAGACAGAAACATCCGAGCCGTTGATGTTCGAAGACACGATTGCAACGACACAAGAGGGATTTGGGATGGTTGACCTATCCAATAATGTCAGTGATACAGGAACGAACGACATGCCTGCTTCGCCGTTATGGAGTGACATTTTTGAGTCTGATGAGGTTGATGGATCATCCCGAGTGATGGACGTGGATGAATGATATGCTGGAGAGTAATGGGACTTCTCGAATCGAGTTTTGCTGGGAAGCATATTGAAGGGTTCGAGGTGCTGTTTTCCTCTGTACACTGAGGCTGCGAGACGGAGTCAAGGTCTGGGAGTATCTCGAATAACCTTGAAATGTCATTTAGCGTTACTCTACACTCAAATTGACGAAACATCCGCTGCCTACGAAAACGATGGTGTGTATGGTCATAATGCGCCTTTGTTTCAAAGCAACGACTTGGGCGCATCCCAATATTTCCCTTCTCCAAATCCGATCTCGGCATCCTCCATTTTGACGCCGAGATGCCAACGCCAGAAGCCAGGCCAGAAGTTCTCATGCTCCCCAACTACATTCCCCTGCTCGTCGGTCTGGCGGAGGTCAAACCATCCAACGCTCGACCTGCGCGAGGACTGATCCGGCGCAACGGCGCACCAGCGATCGGTGCCTGGCAACTCGCCGTGGCTACCCTGGCCGGGGGGCAGGGGTGGCTGGACGAGAGTGGCGTCGACGCCGAGATGCTTGAAAAGAGACATTGAGATGGGGAAGCTAGGGACGAAGGGGGTAGGGCGGAACGTTGTCTGAAAGAAAGGGGTCTTGCTGGGTGACGCTTCCGCGGCGGACACGGGCTCGGTGTCGTGCGGGTAGACCTTGATGGTGGTGCTGCCGTCTTGATGGTCCTGCCAGTCAAAGGCGGCGAGGTGTTTGGGGATGTTCCAGTCTGCGGCGGCCAGGTTTTAGTCGAGAGGTGCGGGTACACGCGATGGCGGTTAGCAGCACAGGTGAGGGTGAGCACTGACTCTTTCTTCCGTTCCAGCAGGTCTGGCGCTGGGAGACGTAGATGCGGGTGATGCGGGCGTTGCGCTTCTTGACGCGCTTGCCGGCCTCCTCGACGGTGTACTCATGGAAGCCGGGGCTGAGGATGAGCTCGTCGTAGGGGCCGACGGGCGACTCGGTGTAGCGGATGAGCTGGATCATGCTGAGGCCGCCGAGGTGGCGGCTGCCCTCTGGGGTTGCGTAGCCCGCAGAGGCCTCGAGGGGGGAGTACGCGAAGGATGGAGGGTTGGCGGCTTGGGACTTGGTGGTCCAGAATGCGAAGAGGTAGACTGTGCCCTTGAGAGTCCAGGGTGGAGGGACGAGGGTGTACCCATCGGCGTCGCCCATGTTGAAATGATCTGCTGTGTTGCAATGGCAATGGGGTGTCGTTTGGGCGTCCTGGTACAAGAAGATGATGGTCTTGGTGAAGATGATGCCAGTGAGACGAGCCTCGTCGTCGAGTGAGGTTGGTGTCACACACGGGCCGAGCCAGTCATCAACGGCGCCTGCAATGGACTGCTGTTGAGGGTGGACCCCATGTTACGGCCTCGGTCCTGACCTGGCGATCCATGTCCCCGCGATCTGCTTGCCAGAAGGGGAAAGCGGGGGCGAGACTGTGCTGTCAGATATTCAAGCATATGAAGAAAGTACGAAATCCAATTGCTTCAATGAAGGACGTGGACTTTGTGGATTGTTCTGTTATTGCCTGGGTTTCTACGTCTGTCGATGTGCACCTGCAGTCGAGGCGCATGTATTGGGAGCAAGACCTGGAGGGGAAACAAACACAGAAGCCGGATCAGTAGCATTGGCTTACACCATGGCATTTCTCTGTCTGGTGGTCGACAAGACCGACTTGGGCAAAGTTCACTATCGATACATCGAGGCTCATTGTACGAACCGACCATGTCAGCCTCATGTGAAGCCATCGTGGATGATGATTGTGAATGAATCAAAAGAAAGAGCAACCCAGAGGATGTGAGTCGGAGGCACAGCACAGTAGCACCCTCTGACAGCAGGCGTGCAGGCTTGCCAGGCATTTTCTTGCCAGGGTACTGGGCTCCTGCTGCATAGTGGGCCCCACCTGCCGCTGCTCCACCGCACTGGTCCCACGCTGCAACTGCAACGGGCTCATGCGGGGAAGGGCGAAGGGCAGGGGCTGTGCTCTTCGACAGGTCATCGACTCCATGTGTGGTGGTGGTGGTAGTGGCCATCGGCCCTCACACCACCACCCCCAAGACCCTGTTATTAGCCAGACCCAAGATCGAGACTGACACACAGCCTATCTGGGCGGGCGTGGCGACTTGCGTCACGAACACACCCCGCCTTGCCATTCTTTCGCATCCATCATTTCATCATCACCACCAATCCCTCATGCCGAAACTGCTTATTGCCTGATGTCGCAAGTTCGCGAAAGCGGCTTTCTCTCTATCATTTTGACTTACATATACCTGCCTCACAGAGATTTCGCTTTCTTTCTGGACTCGATCAGCATCACACCAACATGGCCGCCCTCGTCGTGTGGAGCGTCCTTGCTTGCGCCCACATCGTCAAAAAGCAGCGCAATAAACGCATCTACAAGTACCATAATAGCCATGTCGGCCCACGAGAAACCCGCCGCTTGACGCTGGCCCCAGGCTCCTTCTTCGAGGACCTCAAGGGCGACGTGCAAATCATCTCCATCGATGACCCTCAACGTGTGCCGTACGAGGCTGTCTCGTACGTGTGGGGCCCCACGTCCTCAAGACCGGACTTCATCAAGCTCGGCTCCAGCAGCAGACGACTTTGGCTGCCGCCGAACCTCGCGCAGGCGCTTCGCTACCTCCGCAAGAAAGACGCAGCGCGCACTCTCTGGATCGACTTCATCTCCGTCAGACAAGACGATCACGCTGAAAAGGCCGCCCAGGTCGCCCTCATGACCGAGATTTACAGAGCTGCCGAGCGTGTCGTCGTCTGGCTGGGCCATGAGGCCAATGATAGCAACATTGCCATCGGTCTCCTCGACGAGCTGGCCTGGATGGTCGAGTTCGACTTTGAGAACACCAGGATGCGCCCCACTGGTGCTGGCGCCATCGAGCCGACTTGGGCTGATCCCACCGAGTATCTTCCCTACGAGCAAGACGAACTGTGGGCCATCTATCAGCTTGTTCACCGCGCCTGGTTCGGCCGCGTCTGGATTCGACAGGAAATCGCCGCCGCCGATCCTCAAACTGCCATTGTTGTCTGCGGCAACAAGTCGATCAGCTGGGAAATGCTGCGCACTGCGCTCGCCGTCATAGCCAACAAGCCACGCCACTTTTTGGATTTGAACGACGAGAGCTCCCCCGAGCTGCGATTCGCGCGTCGATATGAGATGGTGTTACTTCTTTGTCAGCCTGAGAAAGACTACACCCTTCCTGATCTGCTCGATCAAGGCCGCAAGTTCAGCTGCTCTGACCCGCGAGATCGAGTCTATGCTGTCATGAACCTGGCCTCTGACGTCGACAACATGGGGTTGATCCCAAACTATGATCTCACCACGAGCCAGGTCTACCAAGATACGGTTCTTCGCTATATCCAGCAGTCAAAGAATACCAATATTCTAGCGTCATGCGAAATCATTGCAGCACGAAAGACAATGCCAACGTGGGTCCCCGACTGGAGTCGCAAGAGAATTGCGAACACAATGCCTATGCATCTCGCAAGCAGCATGTCGGAGGCGCATGCCGGCCCTACAGGCAACGGCGTTTTGAAAGCTAGCGGTGCGTACTGTGCAACAGTGGCCGAGGTTACGGAGCTTTTTGGAGACTTCGTCCCCGTACTGCAGGTCATCGCCACCGTTCGTCAGATCGCCCCTGCCGACGTCCTCTCGGGCCCATACATGGACCGTGCCGGTGGGCTGCTAGAAGCATATTGCGCGACTTTGGCCTGGGGCTTGTTTGACAGCCTATACAACCCGCCGATGGAGTCATATCCGGATCACGATGTCAGCATTGAGTCTCTCAAGCTAGTGCTCGAGCAACAGGAAGACTCGAAACGGACGAGTTCGTCTTACGATTATTCAACTCTTGTCTATGTGACGCAGTTGATCGCTACCTGCAAGGGTAGATCCTTCTTCACTACCCAGGAAGGTTACATTGGCCTCGGACCAAAGTACACAAAGCCAGGCGACAAAGTCTACGTTGTTCTAGGTTGTGACGTGCCCCTTATTCTTCGGGATCGCCACTCCGGCGGTGACAGGGCTAACCTCCCAGGCGAGCCCGAATTTGAGGTTGTTGGCGACAGCTATGTCCACGGGCTCATGAGCGGCGAGGCTCTCCTAGGTCCTTTGCCAAATGAGTGCCAGATGGTCATGGACAGCGACGATCCTGATGAGCCAACTCGGCCCATGTTTATCATGGGGCTGGGTAACGGAGCCTTCAAGACGGCGCATGATCCTAGGCTTGAGAAGGTCAGAGCTGCAGCGACGTCAGCAGCGTGTGAGAAGACACAAGGGGGGTCTGTAGAAGAACTGCTTACGCCTGAGAATCTGAGAGCGGCGGGTGCGAATGTTGTGGACCTTCATCTTGTCTGAGCGCGGCTTTTCTAACGAACGACATATGATTGCGGAATGTTTTTCTTTGTTTTCTGTTGATACCCTGGCCGCGTTCCGTTAAGTACTAATGAGAGTTAGCTTCGTCCACAGAGGAGTTAATAGCCCTACACCCATACGACATTGTGACCGCGTACGATTTTGCTTGTGCAATGACAGCAGCAATACAAGCTCATGGCAGGATCGAGCTTTCACGCGCGTTCTTGCTCAAGCTGTGCACCTCTTGGTATCATTGTGCTATATAACAGCCTAAGCCACAGCCTTCCTAGCTTCTTAGCTCCTTAACAGAGAGAAGACACGAATATGCCATATAATCCCTCCGAGCTAAATTCCTGCCCTTCGAAAGAGAGATCGAATGGTATGTTTACACCCTCAAGGCGTAGGCGTCAAAGCCACGGCGGCACAGGCAGCGCAGCAGGTGCCAAAGGCGGCATTGCAGGCCAGCACCGACGCCGGAGCTGTGGCGCCGAGTGTGGCACCCCAGATGAAGCCTGCGGCCCCGTAGCAGGCTGTGACGACGCTGGCGCAGCCGGCCTGACAGATGCCGTAGGCCACGAGACCGGCAGAGGCGGGGACGGCAGCCAGGGCGGCAAGCTGGACAATCTTTGTTGGGTGCATTCTTTTGACGAGGCTTGGTTTGGGTTCGGGTGATGAGTGTCCTTGGCTGATGGATTTCGTGTTGCGGTCTGAAGGAGCGAGTCGTCGGGATGTCTGGTTGCGAGTGGCTTCGTCTATTCAACAGGCCGCAGACGGCCTTTTGGGACTTTATAATGGAGTAACGTCGGGGGGTGTCATGTACGCTGGGAGGCCGACCACCGCCTGGTTGGTTGAGATCAGGCTAGTGTGACCTCCTGTCTGGCTGCCTGACAGGAATTTCCCTCGATGATGCCTCGTGAGGGGAAAGGCAGACGCATGGCCTGATCTTGATATTTGCTATTGGTCGGAAGAGCTAATAGGCTACCTGGTGGACGTGATGATTGCGTCGCCTTGTTGGCCCAAGAGGTGACCGACCTAGCGGCCGTGTGTTTGAAAGAGGACGTTTGGGGCAGATTCTGCTGCAATAGACCGTTCGATGTGTATGATTGGCGTCTAACTTGATACAACCTAACCGTAGGATCGCGAAAGGTCGGGATAGCGACCTGGTTGCTGTGCGGGATGATGCATGTCGATGAAGAGGCTTAGGCTGAAGGATTATACAGCGTAATGATACTTCTTTCCGACTGATGACACTTGTGAGAGACTTTCTGCTTGCTTATCGTTATGATCTGGAGGTTAATTCTCAAAAATAGATGCTCTATGTGTTGGCCGTTGATTTGTGTCTCAATCGAAGACTATGCTCGATGCAGGAGCAGTTTATGAATGATCCGCGGCATGTGCACTTCCAGTGATCCAGGCCCCGATATTCGCCTCTTCATGCGTCATTCACGTGTCTCTGACGACGAAATAATGGAAGCATCTCTCTGCGAGAGAGCAGCACTGGTGAGGGTATCGATTTCATTGAATAATACGTGATTGAAGTCCCAAAAGCCTAAACGCCGTGCCATGCAAAGATGTGTGGGTGAGGAAAGCTAAAAGGCAACGCGCCGTTGGCGACCGGTATACTTGGACGTCGACTTGACAACCTTGCCCTTGCGCTCCATCTGCTCCTTCTTGTGAACGATCCAGGCCTTACTGCCCTTCTTGATCTCGCCCTTGCCCGTCTTCTCGGCCTTCCTCCTCTCGTCCTGGACGTCGACATTGTCCATGCCGTCGACGACGCCTGTGATGTCGCCGGCACCGCCACCAGCGCCGCCGCCGCCCACCGTCAGGACGAGGTACAGCTTGACGTTCTTGGTCTCGGGGTCGTCCTCCAGGATACCGGCGCCGAAGCCGGCCTTGACGGCGGCCTGCGTGATCATGTTCCTCTGCGTGTCGTTCTTGGGGTAGAACTGGCACACGGCCTTGCCGCCCCTGCGCAGCGAGGCGTAGAGCCCGTTGAAGAAGCGCGTCAGGCGGCCAACGGGCGACGTGTCGCTGCTCTCGGCGTTGCAGAGCCACTGGATGGCCGAGATGCTGATGGCGGCGTCGAAGGAGCCGGCGCGGAAGGGCACGCCCTGGCCAATGTCGGCCAGCATGAGGTCGCCTTCGACGTCTCGCTGCAGGGCAATGTCGAGCATGGACGGCGACACGTCCATGCCGATCCACGTGTGCGGCCCGCCGTGCTCGGGGAGTTCGGCGGTGAGGATCTCGCCGGAGAGACCGCTGCCGCAGCCGACGTCGAGGATGAGGGAGGGGGATTGGAGGTCGAGGAGCTCGAGGGCGCGACGGGTCATGGACGCCTGGATGTTCTGAATACGGGACGACGTCGTGTATTTGCGCGCTTCCGTGTCGTTGTAGTGAATGTCGGCCGCGCTGGAGAAGGCGTTAGCTTTGGGGAAGGGTTCGCGATGGTAGCGGGGTTGGTTGGTGGTGTCACTGACAGGGTATCTTCGGGGCGCGACATGATGGCGTTTGGGATGGTCGAAAGACGTGAGTCGAGTACTGAATAAGTGATGTTGGTGCGGGTCTTTGCGATGACTAGAGGCCAGACTTTCCCACGTCGCGCTGTCGTAGTCGCTTGCAGTTGATGTCGTCGTCTTGTCGAAACGCGGATTCCAGAAATTGAAGATTTTCGGTGCGGATAGCTATCGATAAGAATTTGGCGGGGTGTTGCCCAAATGTCAAAGCCAAAGTCAAGGGGAAACGGCAGCATCAGGCTTGATTGAGCCAGGGTGTCCACCTCAGCCTTAGCTAAGCGTCAAGGGGCAGCCATTCGCTGCAGGAGGACACGCTCTAAATTTCGGGGCGACCAACATGCCAGCACTGCCTGCCCTTCCCCTGACGTGATAGCTGTCGCTCTTTTCATTCTTTACACATACGCTTCAAGAAGATCGGGAGACGTTGTTTTGAAACCGATATCATGTGGATTCTTCCTATTCTCGGGGTTATTGGCTCCATCGTGGGCTTCTGCTTCCTGACCTTGGCAATCGGTACGGCCCACTTGTGATCGCGCGCCGACGCGACCCCCTGGATTTGAGGACTTGCGACTGACGTGCGATGATGTAGCGTCGGGTCTCTACTACCTGTCCGAGCTCGTCGAGGAACACACGGTGCTCGCCAAGCGCCTGTTGACGCAACTGATTTACATTATTGTCGTTCTCCAGCTTCTACTATGGGCTGTGGACGGGCTCTCGTTCAAGCTGACGCTTCTGTCCATCTTCTCGCACATCGTCTACCTTGGCAACATGCGTCGCTTCCCTTACGTTCAGCTCACTGATCCGCTGTTCCTCACTTCATGCGGTAGGTTGTCTCTCTGGACCTCTGGCGGCATGTCGCATAGGCTGACCCTTTCATAGCTCTCGTGCTCACGAACCACTACTTCTGGTTCCGCCACTTCTCCGACACCCAAGCGCGATCCTACTCCAACATGCGCTCCATCTACGACCAGCCTGACACTCCTTCGTTCACACAAATCGCCTCATACTTTGGCATCTGTGTTTGGCTGGTGCCTTTCTCTTTGTTCGTCAGCTTGTCAGCCAGCGACAACGTCCTCCCCACCATGGGCAGCGAAACACCCTACCAGCAGGCCGATGGAAAGAACAAGCGACAGGGCATGGTCAAGGCGCTGGTTGACTCTGTTACCGGCGGCATCGGCCAGGTTATCCAGTCAGTCGGCTTGCAGCAGCGGCCTGGTAACTCGTGGAATGACTGAGCAGATGAAACATGAGGAGACGTTCGATGACGTGTAGGCGGCCCATACATTTTCCCTTTCCCCGTGTTGCGCAAGGCTAACTTGACGGTAGATGGGAGGTTGAATCAAAATCACTTCTAGATCATCTATTGCCTGAACGGCGAACATCATTCAACACATGACCAACCCGATTCAAGCTACAGGCGCTGGCAATACGGGCCACTCGAAGACCAAGAATGCTTCCTCGAAGGTCGTAGCATGCCGCTCTGCATGCATCCATGGCAGTGGTCGATGCGTTCTGGGGCGCATGAGCCGGCTCTCTGCCGGATCCTGCGAGTCGATAGTTTTCCCCTGTGTTGCCAATGCCTGTATCTGAGACGAGGCGGCACGTTGGGGAACCGCCATGGAAGGTCCTGTATCGTGTTGACCCTCGCCATGAGGCGCGCTCAGTTGGTCTTGACTCTTCTCGCGAGCTTCAATCGCTCCGAGACGATGAGCCGGCTGAAAGTGTTCCACGTTCCAAGCGAATATTCACCTCTGGACCGAATAGACACACTCTAGTCCTGATTCAAATAAATCACATGTCTTGTGGCATTTGCGTTCCTGATGGTGCACGCCAGATGATTACTAATGAACACCCCTTTCACAATATCTCACATGGCACATTGGCTTCCGCCACATACTGGGCGCACCGCCACACCCTTAATTCTCGCCTAGTGGATCCGCCCATTTTAGTAAACTCGCTCTCGTCTTCCGTCACGGTGGCGACAAAACAGTGGACTTCTTCTTCTTCTTCACCATAACTCTCTACACCCGGAACTTTTATTCCCAGTTATTCTCCTCATTGGATTGGAGCTGTGGCCGTGTGGGCCTCCCTCATGCGACGCCTCAACTCTTGACTCGATTACTAGGTGTGCTGGCAGCCTAAAGTATCGTGGCTGTGCAGTATAGCTCGTACGTAGGAGCCCTCTCGCGCCAAACCTCGGCTTGCACTGTTCCATTGAATTCATCTTTCGCTCCGACTCTCGTCAACGAAAGCGTCTGAAGAGAAGAATCGACTGAGCTGCTCCCGTGTGACCTATTTTGCTGTGCAGGTTGCCTCTTCAAGAGGCCAGACAGGGCTCTTGCGCTGCCAAGACTTGACACATCAGTGGCGGGTGCATCCAGACCCACATCAAATTGTGGCTGGAGGATGATGCACCAGTGACAACCCCAAGCTGACGTCGCCTTGTTGCGACAACCATCCACTGCAGGCATCCATGTTGGCATCGATCCCAGCATCTGTCATGTGTGATCCAATGGCATGTGCGCTGCGGCTCAAGCCCCCGAGGCCTCGTAATCTGTCGTCGTCGCCGGCGGATCTCTATAAACATGGGCGACGTCCGACCTGAGGGGCCTATACCCTTGGAGTGCTCTCTGCTTTCCTCACCATTCCCCTCTCTCCCAGACACTTGAACTTGAACCCAAGCACACGTCTACATATGGGCTCATTTTTCGTCACACCTCCGACACCGACCACTCCTACCGAACGACGGACTGAGCTCATGACCAGGCCCGAACGCACCATGGCGCCGTCCATCGATTCGGCCCTGGGCACGGCCGACATGGCCAACGAGCAGAGGGGCCTTCTCGAGCTCATCGACAAGCTTCAGTTCGCCCAGCTCGACAATGTCAAGCTGCCGCAAATCGTCGTGGTGGGCGATCAGTCTGCAGGCAAGAGTTCCGTTCTCGAAGCCCTCACCGGCACCCCATTTCCTCGCGATGCGGGCGCTTGCACACGATTCGCGACCGAGATTCGCATGAGGCGATCCAACGAGCCGTCACTCACTGTCTCCATCATTCCAGACAAGCACCGCAACTTTCGCGATCAGGAGCGCCTGAAGCAATTCGGCGGCATGGTCGACCACGATATGCCCTTTGACGCATTGATGCGGTCTGCCGTCGATCTTATCGCTCCTAAGAACATTCCCGGCAGGTTCGCCGCCCGCGACATTTTGGTCGTCGAGAAGCGTGGTCCTGACATGCCTCTGCTCACTCTTGTTGACTTGCCGGGCCTTGTTCGGAATGCCAACAACGACCAATCGCTCGATGACATCAAGACGATCGACACCCTCTGCGACCGCTACATGAAGAGCTCTCGCACCATTATCCTCGCCGTCGTGGGCGGCAACACCGACTACGTGCAAGCACCCATCCTCACGAAAGCCCGCCAGTTCGACCCCAGTGGTTCCCGCACCATCGGCGTCTTGACGAAGCCCGATCTTTGCGAGTCGATCGGCCTCGAAGACAAGTTTATCGATCTCGTCCAGAACAGAGACCAGGCCAATTTCTTCAAGCTCGGCTGGTACGTCTTGCTGAATCCTGGACCTCGCGACCAAGGCCAGCCCTGGCCTACTGCTCGCGAGCGTCAGGAGCGCGAGCAAGAATTCTTCGGCCGCGGCAAGTGGCGCGCCCTGCCAGAGTCCATGTGCGGCGTGCCGGCGCTGAAGCAGAAGCTCAGCGTCCAGCTGCAGCGTCATATTGGCCGCCACGTTAAGACGCTCAGGAAACAGATCCAGACGGCGCTGGATACTTGCGACACGGAGCTCAAGTCCATGGGCGAAGGCAAGGATACGGTCCCCGAGATGCGGGTTGAGCTTGTAGAACTCTTCTCGTCCTCCAAGGAGCTCGTCATTCCCGCCGTTTACGGTTTCTACAAGAATCCTCCTCGCAAGAACTTCTTCCGCGCCACGGCCGACCCTCGAGGCACGCCCGCTCAAAACCTTCGCGCCCGCGCCATTGAAGAGAACGAGAAGTTTTCGCATCGCATCCGCCAGAACGGCCGCAAGTTTGGCTTCGCCTCATCGACCGACCCCCGCGCGCCCAACGCTGTGCCACTCGGCGACAGCGGCAAGAAGGAGTTCGTCGCACACGAGGTCGAGATGCTTCTGCGCCAGATTCGCGGTTCCGAGTTCCCCATGGATCCCAAGCCTCGTGCCGTCTACATGCTCTTCCAGAGTTACTCGGAGAACTGGCCCAAGCTGGCCCAGGAGCACAAGGACAACCTTGGCGTCGTCTGCAACGAGTTTCTTAGCGAGGTCATTGATTTTGCCTGGCCGCAGCGCATGAGGGAACCACTGCGCGCGCAGTTCCTCGATCCCCAGATGAGGGCCCTCATGGCCAGTGCCCAGGAGGAGCTCGAGCGACTCACACAAGACATGAACCTTGAGATCCAGCCCTATGATCCCGAGTACGAAGAGCGCCTGCGCAAGTGGCACGTCGAGACGACAAAGGATGGTGGCACCTACAATGAGGCGCAGGAGGTTTTGGAGAAGATGTTGATCTTCTACGAGCTTGCCGCCAAGACTTTCATCCGCAACACCATAACGCAAGTCATTGAGCGTCACTTGCTTCAGGGCATGTATGGCATCTTCAATTCGGTCGCCATCATGGGTATGGCGGATGACGGCGTCGAGGCCATCGCAGCCGAGAACAAGGAGACGCGTGACAAGAGGATGGCACTCAAGACACAGAAGAACGCCATTGAGGAGGCCAGAGACATTTGCGCCAGCCTCGCCATGTGCAAGGAGTTGCGTGCCTATGCTGATGAAGATCGCGACATCGAGGAAACCTCCGACGAGGACGACGAGTCGCGCCCCCAGGAACGCCCCCAACAGCACCCACGACAAGCTACCGCGTCCTCAAACACCCAGCCTCCCCCTCCCAGGGCATCGACAGAGGCTCATCGCCCAGCGCGCAAGCCCACGGCACCCCAGGCTGATGCCGCCGTGAACGGCAACTACACCCATGCGTCCAACGGTGCGCCTCAGGGTCTGCCAACGCCCCGTGTCGAGGCACCTCGCACCCAGAGCTCGGGCGATTGGCACAGTGAGGAGCAGCCGGTGCGGTCGGTGCCGCATCATGCCCCACCCCCGCCGCCGCGGCCCGAGAAGCTGAGGACGGAGGACCAGTACGGGGTCAGCCCTGTGGAGAACGGCTACGGGTCGTACGGCGCCGAGACGGAGTATCCCCCTTCGGCGTCGCGGGACTCGAGGCGCGTTTCGGCGAAGAAGCTGTTTGGCAGGTCGTGAGTTGTTGGGGCTGCGTGATCCATGTTATTTACAAGCGGGATGCATTTTGTTTTTGGACGGAGGAGCTGGGATGCCACGGGTTGGATCGAGCCATGATAGGTTTTGGTAGTGACGAGGTGAATTCGCACGATAGATATAATATACCCATAAGACATACGAGTTTGAAAAGTAGGTACAAATGACCCATCATGATGCGTACATGTGCTCAAGCAGGCTGGACGGCATGATAGAGGGGATCAGCTCCGTAGCGTGGAAGTGACGACGTGTGGATGCGAGGGGTCAGTATTTCATCACCATGTTACTATGAAATGTATGATTGACGACACAATCTAGTAGTACTGACAATGTCAATCATACCTAAGTTCATGATGTTGCGTTGTATGACCCTGTAACCACCACATTTGGGCCAGCTTTCGCTGCTCGACATGTATCTGTACGTATTCATCCTCGACCATTCATGATTGGCTTGATCGCACAGCACACGGACACCAGTCACAATGTTGAAGCAAGTAAAGGTCATAAATTTCATTGAATCCTGCCTGACAGGCCCCTGCGCCTAGCTCCGATGAATATGCAATCTATACGCTACCAACCAGTTCACGCCTTGACCTTGAGGACGGCCTTGCCAAAGTTCTTGCCGTGGAAGATGCCGACGAGGCCCTCGGCGGCGTTGTCGATGCCCTCGGTGATGTCGACCTTGGCCTTGACCTTGCCGTCGGCGAGCAGGGGCTGGACCTTGTCGTTGAAGGCCTGGTAGCGCTCGGGGGTGAGGCTGACGATGAAGCCCTTGAAGGTCAGGGACTTGCCGATGATGTTGAAGAGGTTCTTGACGCCGTAGCGGTCCTCGGGCTTGACGTTGTAGTCGACGATGGAGCCGCAGCCGATGATGCGGCCGTTCTTGTTGATGGCGTGGAGGGCGGCCTCGAGCTGGGCGCCGCCGACGTTGTCCCAGTAAATGTCGATGCCGTCGGGGGCCAGGCGCGCGAGGGCCTCGTTGGGCTCGTCCGTCTTGTAGTTGAAGGCGCCGTCGAAGCCGAGCTCGTTGGTGATGAAGTCGATCTTCTCCTGCGAGCCGGCCGAGCCGATGACCTTGAGGCCCTCGGCCTTGGCGAGCTGGCCGACGAGCTGGCCGACGGCGCCGGCGGCCGAGGAGACGAAGATGGTCTCGCCGGCGACGGGCTTGCCGATCTCGTAGAGGCCCTCGTAGGCCGTGGTGCCGGGCATGCCGAGGACGCCGATGAAGTAGTGGGCGGGCAGGTTGTGGGGGTTGTGGATCTTGCGGAGGCCCATGGGCTTGAAGGCCGGGGCCGGGATGACGGCGTACTGGGCGTTCTGGCCGTAGAAGGAGGCGAGCTCGTCGCCGACGGCGAACTCGGGCGTGTCGGAGCGGAGGACCTTGACGACCGAGGCGCTCACGATGGGCTGGTCGAGGTCGAAGGGGGGCGAGTACGACTTGACCTTGGGGTCGCGCATGCGGCCGCGCATGTAGGGGTCGAAGGAGGTGTAGAGGACCTCGACGAGGACGCCGCCGTGGAGGGGCGCATTCTCGAGGTCAATGGGCCTGTCCTCGATGACGAGGTCCTGGCCGGGGACGGGGAAGCCCTGGGGCACCTTCTTGTAGATGAAGGACTTGTTGGAGGTGGGCGCCATGGTGGACGTGTGTGTGGGTGGGTTGTCTTGGTGTTGAGGGGTATCTGTAGGATGGAAAATTGCGGGGCACAATGTATCGCAGGATCGATAGAGTGCTGATGGATGATGGGACTAGGGGCTGTGAAGATGATGGCATACGTCAAGGAGGAGGAGGCCAGGTCGAGGCTTTATATCGTTCGACAGCTATCACCATTACAAAGCCAGGGTCCAACCTGTGTTTTGGCGTAGGCGCCAACGGCAGACCCCATTGTCACGTCATGGACGCACAAGAGATTTGATTGATCGGAGAGATTCTGACGTTCTGGGCGGCAGGCGAGTAAGGTTAGGAAGGGTGTGCTGTTTGCTGTACAGGATGGATGGGTTCGCCTGGTTTCGATTCGGCGTTGCCTGGTGGGTGCGGCGGGGTCGTGACGAAAAGAGACATGACGCCGTTCCCGAGAGATCATCAAGGTCCTTGATTGGGCCAACACCAGCAACCAGCGAGTAGGGGGACCTCGGCTTGCTTACAGAGCAGAGAGGCGGCCTCGGTTCCTGCGCCCTTTTCATGCAACTATCCGTAGATCAAGCCCCGTTGGTGCCTTACACAGAATCCGAATTCCCCTTTTCCTGCAAACTCTTGTCTTCTGTTGCCCCTCCCCCCACCCCGCCATGCTCACTTCTTCATGCTCCCTGCCTCAACACGGATCAACCTTCACCGACCCCCCCCCCAGCCCTATCAGTCATTATCGCCGAAAGTCAATTCACGAAATGACTGGCTTTTGCTGTGTTCGCAGCTCCCAACCCGGTTCAGGCGGCAGGGCGGCCTGACAACATGCCGACCCCCTGCTCCACCACGCTACCTCCGAAAACGAAGCTTCTTCCATGCCACACGGCTCACGACCCCTCCCTAGCTCGCGCCGTTCCTTACCATCATACGCGCCTCCGCAACGACCATGTCCGACTGTTTGCCATCGTCGATCCCACCGGCCGTCCCCGGCCCACTCTTGACAAGTACCGCCGGCCCATCCCCTGACGGAGACTTGACCCAGACTTCCTTGTACCCACTCGACGCGAAACCGAGCTTCTCGAAACTTCGCCGCCCCTCTTCCGTAGCCGTGAGAGCTGGAAAGTGTGTCAGTCAGCAACTCGGCGTTTTCTCAACAACAGACACCTCGGACAGTTTTCTTGTCCCATTGTCCACAAGAAAAACCAAAAAAGGGGGAAAAGAAAATACATACCGGACACCCCCTCGACAACGTAGCCCTCCCCCTGCGCAGCCTTGATCAACTCGTCGACGGCAAACCGCGCAAAGCCCCTGACGGCGGACCCCTGCACCTCCTCGACCAGCTTCTCAATGTGGAACACATGCACGCCGACGGCGTCGCCCTTGGTCCGCGAAACGTCCCGCGCCGCATCAATGGCCGACTCGCGCAGCGTGCCCGCGCCGAGGTCCCGCCACGCCGGCACGGCGAGCGGCAGCGCGACGACGACGCCAACGAGCGTGTCGCCGGCGTGCAGGGCCATGGACAGCTCCGGCGCCGCGGCGACCCAGGCCTCGAGGCGCTCGAGGGGGATGCCTGCCGGGTACATGGCTTCGTCCGAGCTGTGGATGGACTGCACCATCTCGGGCGACAGCGGCGTGCGTGTGATGTAGGATGTCCAGTCCATGGTGTGTGCGACTGCGATGTGTTGCGATGTGACGTGTGATTGTATGCTACGCAGGAAGAATATAGTGAGCCTCCCCGTTGGCACAAGACGAGAATCGTCTCAAGTACACGAACGTCTCTGGTGTATCATAGCCATTACGTCATGGGACGGCCGGACTTGTGGGACTGGCTGCCAGTCTGCGCTCCAGCTGAGGCGGGCTTAGCGTATGTCGCTCTGCGGATGTTCGCACATTACGGCTCACAGACGGTCGATTCCCTTGCACTTCGAGAGCACTTCCACAGCGCGGGTCAGTGGTTCCTGTGGACAATAACGCAGCGGACGCCGTGCTGTCAACATTGTCTTCGGACGATTCAATCGATATGTCAGTACTGAACCTGGAGCAGAGTGAAGAGGTCTTCCACACCTGGTCCGCAGGCAATAGATAATAGGTAGGGGTTCGGAATACATCTGAATTCAGGCCCTTCGCAGCTTGAAGGGCTCTTCACAGTCCTAAGATATACGTTCTCGTAGCCGTTAGCCCCTGGCTAGCCCCTTGTGCCTGGCTCCGTAGGGATTTCCTGACAAGATGAACACGTGCTTGAAACACATGGCTACGCAGGTGGGTTCTGAGTTACTATTTCATAGATAGGGCGCCATCAGAATCAAATCTGCATCTCATACGGAACTTTGAGTGATATAAACTCATGACTAAGTCTCCAACGCCCATCGGCTGGCTCAATCCGTACTGCTGCGGCGTAGTGCCATTGTCTTCCTTGCGTCAAACCCCCTCCGCCTCTCTAAGCTCCTATCTTATTGGGCTCCAATCTATACTATATCAGTTTACGTGGCTGTGAAACGTGGTAGATGGATCGAAGATCCTTTTCTGGACCAACCAAACGAGCATACTTCTACCTTGGTCATTCTGAGTTAAAACATGCATGGTTTGCCGCAAGGGATATCCAATGTGACACAGGGATATGTCACTTAAGTGTGCGCCCGTTTGTCATTGATATTACTGATGTTAGGCGGATGGGTTCTCAACTCTTTGACAGTCCAAGATTGGAAGTGAAGGCGCTCGAGCCACTGCCTCATTCCCATGTAGCCAACAACCCCAGAACACTCCGTTCTATCGTCCACTCTCTTGGGCACATTAAGAACTTGGAAGCCTAAGCCTTCAGTAGTGTGATACTCGAACCGATTCCCAGCTATTGGGAAGTTGAAAATTGGCGACGATCGCCCACGCTCATAGTCCCCGCTCGTTATCGTATATATGATGGGTTCTCGGGCGGCCGTTTTTAGGCGTGATGCGAGCACTGATGATAAAAGCGGAGTCTCCGCGATTGTAATGAGATTGGTGTACAGGGCTTTCGCCATTATTGCGGTGTCTAGTTACCGAAACTTTAGCTTTCAGTCAGACGACTAGAACGATTGATTCAACGTACAAAATCTCGATAGATTCGATCTCGCCAACTTTCTGTAACAAGTCAGAGGGTCTCATTCATGATGAATTTGCGAGCGGTTTGAAAGGCTTGAATACAGTCTTGGCACCGTTCTCCGCGTATCTCTCAACAGCAATCCTGTAGATGTCGGGCAGGTCAGTTCTCGAGTAGCCGATCCACGTCACCAAGTTGCGTGTAGTAGTGGAAAAGTATCGAGACATTTCAGAAAGAAGCTGTGCGAGGGCTTGGTAGAGCTTATTACGATAGGTTGAAGCAATGAAGCAATGAAGCAATGAAGCAATGAAGCACAAGTATCAATCATGTAAACATTCAAGGCTCATCTTATATTTGGCTTGACTTCCCGAGCTTTACATATGCTCTTTAACCTGACTTTAATCCAAACGTGCTAACATCATACCTCGTACACAATGAACTCGGCTCACGCCTAACGAAACTCTGCGCATGATGACTGAAAGACTTCTGCTTTTCAATTCACAGAGCCTTGCCACCAACGTCGTCACTGTTGGGAGCCTCCAACCAGTGCAATGCCAAAGAAGCTTGCAATGTTGAATGAAGTTCCTTGACTTAATGTATTGATTGTTGGAGAGGAGCAAAATAAAGGGTTGGCCGTTTTCAGCTTACCAATTTAGCTCTTAGCCTGAGTAGGTAGGCAAGACGAATTGCTGAGCCTTCATTGATAAATCAATTCGTTGGCTTCGTCTGATGCAAAGCACTCACCAACATCTCCATGGCAAACTTCAGCTTTGAAGGCGGTTCTCCGTTTTCGTTGGAAACAATCGCCACACGGGCAAAAAGGAAATGCCACACAGCACTATGAAGCTTCCAGGCCAATACGCGTTTCAACTGTGACTAGGCGAATGCTTCTCAACAAGGCAGCTTAGCATACATGTTAGCGATCATGTGAAACATGACACCAGATTGTTCAAGGTGGGTCCAAAACGGTGGGCCTCAGGAAGCTCTTTGGAACGTGCATTAAACTCAGGCCAATCCGTCCTACATCACCCGCCGTCCTTCAACCGCCTGTCCAGCTTCCGACCTGACCTCAACGTCGGTTTAATCTGAACCTGAAGCTCATTAAATGGCGTCTCTTTTGCGGAAGATACCCTGGCCCAGCCGGGTATGGAAACCCTTGACTTTCTCGAACTCTAATTTCATACGCATTCCACCTGGCGAAAGGGTAGAGGAAGAGCTCTTCGCAGACTACAAAGCATCGCGGTACTACCCAGTCATCATCGGTCAGGTCCTCAAGGATCGCTATCAGATTGTAGGAAAGCTGGGCTTTGGTGCCAGCTCAACTGTTTGGTTGGCGCGCGACCTAGAGTAAGATAATCTTGGGTTCCCTTGTGGATCAGCCCTAGAACACACGACTAGCTCCGCTGACGCGATGTTAGGGGTCGTCGACATGTGGCACTGAAGCTTTTCATTCACTCACAGTCTATGGGCGAACAATTAGATCGCGAGGTGTCTATATACAAGCGAATTTCTAATGCTTCTTCGACGCATCCTGGTCGCGGCGCAGTCAGGGAGCTTCTCGACTCATTCGATATCGCTGGACCAGAAGGATCGCATCGATGCTTAGTGCATCCTCCATTGTGGGAAAACCTGCTGACTTTCCTTCACCGAAATCCAGTTGGGAGATTGCCTGTGCCCGTTCTCGCCTTTACGCTTCGGCGCATGTTTCAGGCTTTGGACTTCCTACACACAGACTGCCAGGTTGTTCACACAGGTAGGTTAGAGAACTAGAAGGATCCCATGCTTCAATTGAACTATGCTGCTTATCTTTCGAGGACTATACTGACCTATGGTGGGTAGATATCAAGGCTGACAACATCATGTTCGGTATCGAAGATGATTCCGTCTTCACAGCATTCGAGGAAGAAGAGCTCAGCGACCCATCTCCGCGGAAAACTGTGGATGGCCGAAATATCTATGTCTCACGAGAACTCCAGATGCCAAAAGCCTGGGGTGCACCTGTTCTCTGTGACTTCGGCTCAGCCGTCGTTGGGGAAGTCAAACACCTGGAGGACGTGCAACCGGATATCTACAGGGCACCCGAAGTCATCATCGAAGCACCATGGTCCTACTCAATCGATATATGGAACACCGGCTGTGTGGTGAGTTTTCATTCTGCCGCCAACGAAACTACGCTTTAGTGTCTAGGTTGACTGGGAAATGCCCTAATTATGTCGCAGATCTGGGACCTATTCGAAGGGGGTCACCTGTTCACAGGACACGATCCAGAGTTTGAGAGATACCGCAGCCGAGCGCACCTTGCAGAGATTATTGATCTTCTTGGACCACCTCCACAGACACTGCTGCAAGCGGGCAGGTCGAGCCACAAATTCTTCACGGATACCGGTAAGTGCGACGACGTTAGCGATGGGGCCACTTAGCCCATCCGCCTCCACCATGCTGACAGGATGTTGTTTTGCTACAGGGGACCTACGTGGCGCCGACTCGGGGCTGCTGGCTGGTGCGTCATTTGAGGAAAGGGAGACTTCCCTTGAGGGTGACAGTCAGAAAAAGTTCCTCGCCATGATGCGGAAGATGCTTCAGTGGGAACCCTCAATGCGATCATCGGCGAAAGCCTTGGCTGAAGATGAATGGATTGTCGCCAACATTCAATGAGATATGCAGACGCTGCGGCTGTCCATTCAAACTGCAATTTCTATCATGGCGTTTTTCAATCTTTGGGTCGCTAAAATCATCACATTACACATCTCATTTCTATCACACCAAACTATGTGACCACTTTGAGCAGATATTGAAGATGCTTATGATGTTCCTTTCCTTTTATCTTTCACGTACTGTGTTCAACACGGCCTGATTTTTCCAATTCATCTCCTGAGTGTTTGCGAAAGAGAATTAAAGTCGAAGATCTCAGATCATGTCTCATTTGAGCCTGTCTCAAGTTCAAACAACTATCTGGCAGATTTTGTCTAGTATACTTTCGATGAATCGAACGCCAACTACAATACCATCCTCGTCCAAATACTGCTCTTGACTGCCAAAAGCTTCATTCTCCGGGTCTAAACATGTCAGACATGTCACAACCACGTCTGTGTACAAATCTCCCAGGCGAGATGGAAGAATGGTCTTCGCCATGCCCACCAAATGCTCCTTCAGCCGCCCGTCGCCTCCTGTATTGGTCTTTTGGAAATGAGAATCGGAGAGAGCCAACCCAAGACTGATTCCTGGCACAGGCGCTGCTGTGTCGCTTGGGCTCTCGTCCGGGTACCACACGAACGATCGCCATAGACCCAGTTCGAGCAGACAGACGCCCAGACTGTAGATGTCGTGCTGCATGATGTACCGCTCTTGGACCAAGTTTCCCTGCCGTTCCGGATGACGGTATAAGTTTCTATGCCACGCTGCGTCGCCGAGCAGGTTTGTCTGAAAGTGGGTGCTACGAAACTGGTTGAAGCCAAGAAGATAGCTTGTCCCCAGAGATGAATTGGCATCGGAAAAGACTAGAATATTGTCGGGCCGAATGTTCTTGTGTACGAAGTCACAAGTATGTATGTAGCTAATGGAGTATACAAGCTGCTTCGCTGTTCGCACAATAGCTGACGCGCTGACAGGGTGGTGCCGGAGAAGAAGCTGGCGGAGGGTCATGGGAGGGTTGGCATCCTGCGGTGCACGATAGACGACTTCGATGTACTTGAGGCCCTTTGTGGCGGGATCTTGATGCTTGAGTAGACCGTAGCAGCGAAGAAGACCGAAAGTTTGGGGGTCAACCTGCTGGAGGCGCCGGGCAAGATTTTCAACGTCCACTTTTACCTGTGAGATTGTTCCTGGAGGCGCATTGACAGACTCGGCAATGAGAAGGCTGTTTGAGCCTTCTCTGACGATGGATCGAGCCGAGGAGAAGGGTATTGGTGTTTCTGTTGCGCCGCGGAGACCAGCCGCATCAAGGTTCAAGCTTGTCTTTGGCTGCGATCCACCAGAGAATGGTGTTTTAGGAGGGCTGATTGCGTGTCGAAGTGCGAGCATGCTGTCTAGAGGGCTAGGGCTTGAGCAAACAGACGTCGAATCGGTAGACTTCGTATCTGTCTCTTTAAGCGCCGTGTCTAAGGTGGTGCTACTCATCAGAATGATGAGATACCATGTCGGATCAAAACGGCTTCTCCATGCCTCCAATTCGGTCACCAATTCGTCGAGGCCTTTCTTCGCCAATGAGAAGCGCCATTTCCTCCAAACTTCGGAGGTCTTCTGCTTAAGAGTCGAGTCGTCGGAGGCGGAAGATGTTGAGACGTTGAGTCGGGCAACAGCCTGAAGCAGCTTGCCGTTGAGGATCTCGAGGAGGTCTAAGTGGCTTTGTGCCAGCTCCTCGTCGAGCTGTGATGAGATCTTTTTGAGGAAATTGAGCTGGATTTCAAGTTTCGTCCAAAGGGCTTGCACCAGAACCAGTCTCTCATTGATGAGTTCATCTGCACCACGATACGACTGATAAGTAGTGATGACTTTATTCGCGAGTCTGTAGTGGTTAGCGATCGTCCTTTTCTTCGCCCTGCTGACACTCCGATTTAGGAGCGGCACGGCCCGTAGCGCTGGCCTCCTAGCCAAACTCACTTAATGCAACCATCGATGACACCTGCGACGGCAAGTAGTAGTTCGGCAACCATGAGACCTATTGTTGGGATTATCTCACTGGGAGAGCATTCTGCGAGGACGCTCAAGATAAATAATTTGTCGTAGCGCAAGGAGTAGCACGAGGCTCCCCCAAGCCATCGCAAGCGGGAGGCCATGAGGGCGGTGCCGCTCACGAACCCCTGTAAACGAGGGCGGCTGTGCCGCAATATCCATTGGGTCCCGTCCTCGTAGGCGCTATTTGCTATTGAACACCCGCCAAGCAACGCATTGGGTCACCAGCTGAGGATCTGCGCGGCGGAGTGGAACGCCACATCAGGTGTTTTGCTGTCGCATAGACAGGGCTGACTGCGCGGCTCCTCAGCAGTCTCGTGACGGTGAGCTGAGGCTGTTCTTTGGTGACGAGGATAAGACTCATACCATCCAGCACTAGGTATCTTACCTTACCAACGTATCGAACCGATCAGACACCATGCCGGCTCACCGTCCAAAGACTGCCAGCCATATTTGAAGCGTACTTACTTTGCGTAAGCCTATAGCCCATCATGGGGTCCAATGTGGGGGCCAACATGCCATCACCTTTGGTTCTCAGATGCAGGCTACAGACCGAGTTTCTGGATGGGTGTGTCAAACACAAGAGGAGAGTTTCCATGTTGCACCTTACACCGCGCAGCTCGAGCCTAGATACCGTTTTCGAGGAACTCTGGGACATCGAGCCCACCATTGGCCGAGGTTCTTTCGGTGTGGTCCGCTTCGAACGGCTAAGAGGACACCCAAGTGTGCGCTTCCAGTCGTCGTCACATCGCGTGAGAGCTGTCAAAGAGATCAGCAAAAGAATGCCCGACGGTCACCACTGGGACTACATGAAGGAATTGGAGGCAATAGCGAAGTTCTCTCAACCAAATGTGAGTTTGAGCACTTGAAATCATAGTCCCCTAGCAGTATTCAGTACAGTTTCCTGATCAGTCGGGCAACAGTATGCACCGTTCTTTGTAAGGACGCGTGGATGGTTCGAAAATGCGAAATCCGTCTTCATAACCATGGAGTATTATCCTCTCGGAGACCTACGCAGATTCATGGATTCTCAGTCGCCATTTACCGAGAACCTGACAAGCCACATAGTTCGCCAATTAACACGAGGTATCAACTATATGCATGCCAGTGGCTTTGCACATCGTGATCTGAAGCCGGCTGTAGGTGACCATTCTGCACGGTCGATTGGAAATCGGTACTCACGCGTGGCAGAATATTCTAGTCGCATCGACTTCGCCAAGGTGGTCCGTACGGATTGCTGATTTTGGCATCAGCAAGCAGGCTCTCGAAGGTGGGACTTATCTTCGAACAATGCATATTGGTACTTTCGGATACATGGCACCCGAGGTGCTGGGGTTTAACGCCCAAAACAACCCAAGTGCAGCATATTCGGTGACAGTGGACATGTGGGCCATTGGCGTGATAGCCCTGGAGCTGCTCATGAAGCGGCACCCGTTTCCCAACGTCTCGGACCTGGTAGGCCACGTCCATGGCACTCGCACGGTTCAGTATGACGGAGTCTTGGGGGTGCACCCCTCGAACGCCTGTCGTGATTTTATTGGCGGCTTATTGACACCACATCCTGCCATGCGACCCTCTGCCAGCGTTGCCGTGAAGCATCCCTGGCTGAAAGAGATCAAGATCGAGGTTGTTGACTCTGAGGATGACGAGCCGTGAGTGGAATATGCCTCTCAGAGTCAAACCGTAACAGCATTAGACTGACTAAGACAGACTTTTCGTGGAAGACTACCCTCAGGACGAAGACATAACGATGCGCCATCGTGATGGCGTCACCCCCGCCTCATTACCATCACTGGCCTGGTCGAATCTACGACTGACACCGGGCGCAGCTGCACCTGCAAGTGACGCAGGAACGCTGATGAGCACTCAGGCTGGCCTCCAGCTAGACAGGAGTGGTCTGTTGCCGAGCTTCCAAGCACTGTCGTTAGAAACGGTATGTTGAAATCCGAAATTTGTGGTGCTTCGTTACCAACTAGCAGGGATTAGACACGATATTTCGTTTTGCGATCAGATAACCAGACGGATATCGAGACCAGCATCGCCCACGGTATCTGGACCTCTAGTCCGCGCGTGAACAAGATCATTGAGAAAGGCCATACCAGATCAGGCGGTAAAGTTGTGTTCTTCTTCTCAGTCATAAAAAGGTAGGCTGAATCACATTGCAGCCAATCGAGGAGGCAGTGGAAATGCTGACGAAATGATTGATAGCCAGCGGTTCTGTGGGGTCGCGCAAATGACAAGCCCCATGGATTGGGACCACACAGACGAACACTGGCTGGAAGATTCGTGGAGAGGGTAAGCAAGTTTCGGAGGCTATCTGCCGGTATTGGCATTGCACGACTGACCAATGTTGCGCGCAGCCGATTTACTGTTGACTGGCTCTGCTTGACCGAGCTCTCTTTTAGCAAAGTCAAACACGTGCCTGTGTCGCAACGGACACCAGGTTTCCGTGCCATTGCATGTTACGACGGGACCGAGATATCGCCCGACTCTGCGCACCAGCTCTTGAGTGCATTCTCGGCCGAAGAGGAGGCCGGGATGGTCATGACAGGTGGAGCAGTACCTGCTGCCTTGTGATGACCTATCAGTGCGTGGTTTGGAGCAGAGCGGAGAGGTCTTTAACACGTGGTCCGCAGGCAATAGATAATCGGTACGGGGTTGTAATACATTTGAATCCTGGTCCTCCGCAACTAGGAGGATCTCTGCAGCTCTTAAAAAGGGAACATGCGTTGTGAAAGATAGCGGCGTCAACGTAAGTCTAGCTATGTGTCAAGCGTATGCCTTCACCCATTAGGTTTCATTAGACTATCCATCAGTCGCTTTGCTAGCTCCTTGTCACGAATGGATTCCAATCGAGCCAAGGCATTGCCACGATTTCTCCGCATACCGGGTCCGCTCTCGGTATTATACAGGCAGCCGCGTGCCGTCTGATTCATGCCGACTATCAAGACTTATTGAACGGAGTGAAAGCTATGTAAGACAAAAAGAGAGCAAGTGGAACAAAACTGTGTCGTTCGTCGTACTTGAACATGAGCGATGACTGCTTCTCATTGAGGATAGGGACCCTATCAATGTTTCCCGCAACTTCACTGCTGCATTTGATCTCCCAGAGTCGTAAAAATCTTCATGGGGGTCTTTTCAACTGATTGTATTAAAACCCTCTAGAGGTTGTCCTCATGACAAATGCGATCCTGATCTTTCGAATTTGATCTAGAACGGCTTGCTAACGAATCTGCTTCAAAGCGTCTATATCAGTGTGAACGAGTTTGTCACCAGTGCTGAAAAGTCGAGTAGGTGACAATCCTCGAAACGTGTCTTGATACTTGGCCTTATGTGAATCATGCTTCGACATATGCGGTGCCCACAGCGCGGGTATTGGACCAAGTCAAGTGACGTCTGGTCAAGATGGCAGTGCATGATGGATACCAGTCTTAAACCATGGCTTAAGTACACCGGAAGACTAGCCGTTCAATACTTTGAAAGAAAGGGCAATAAACCATGGCATTTGGTTCATGTTGTCATTCAGGACAATAAGTTGGTGATGACGATGTCTGCGATGAGTCTATGTCTGTGTCCCAGATGCGGACGCCGTCCTCCAGCTCGCCTACATGAACCGACGCTCTGGTCCAATACCCGTGCTGCTGCCAATGCGCTCATCAATACCAAACCCGCGCACCAAGCTCGGGATCACACAATATGTCGACCCCGCGCCCGAAAAATCACGGTCTCGAGATCGACTGGCTCAATGTCAGCCACAGTCGTATCTCCACGAGTGGGCGTCTTGGACCTCCCAGCCCGCTGTGGTCAGGGTGCCGCGAGCAGGGTCATTGCGTGATCGATCGGAACAGCCCTGCTGGATCAGAGACAATCGTCCATGACTCGGCCAGGGGGAAAAGGGGGGGGGGGGGGGGGGGCTTAAAACGTCCTCAGATCCGGCAAACGCCAGAGACGTTGTGAAATCGGCCGGGCGCCCGCATGGGAGTCTATCACTAAACATTATTTCTCGCAGCGTGTTGTACGACGGCGCGGACTCCCGCTGCGTCACCGCCGACCGCGAACTATCCTCACACCCCCTCCTCTTCTGAGGTGCGGCGATGATACTGAGTCTCCACCTTGTGGCCATCCTTTCCTCCTCCGCCGGTGCTGTCTGGTCTCGAACTTGCCCGATACGACCAGTCTTGCGAAGTTTCCCAGGCGTGCCTGAGGGCCTGGTGTCACGCAGCGTCAATAGCGTCGAGGTCCAGATAGGCTCATTGGGCCTCGTGTCTTAGGAGGACGATGGGAGATGAATCTCTGTCCGCTGTCTCAGCTGGCTGGCGAGGACCGACGGATCTTGGTTCCGCAAGTCGTCGTGCGACGCTGGATGGGGGACAGAAGCCATCTCAACTCGCTGCGAAGGGAGGCCGGTGTGGAATTTTCCCAACGTATGAGTGGTATCGTCCCCATGAACTTCCATTGTGGTTCTGGCCTCGAGACCCGGGAAACGGAAGGCTGCGGAATCTGATGTTCTTCTGAAAGAGGCTGTTCGGTGGTGTGTAACGCTGCATCGGGAGCAGAGGACATGTGAGCCCCCGACTGGTCAGATCCGACGCCCCGTTAGGCTATTAACGATCGATGACGGGAGGCTTATGGGTGATGACGGTCCTTCGAGCTGGTCTGCATAACCTGAAGCACATGATGGTCGTATGCGAGAAGCGGTTGGCGGGATCACCTGGACGGAGCGCATCCTTTGACTCCCTTTTCGGATCCAAGTGAGCAGCCCCCATTCTATTTTCAAACGGGAGAGGTCTGTAGTCGATAGTCGAGAGCAAACTACAAATAGGGCAGGAAGGCATGTCGTATCACTTTGCCTGGCGGGCCGGCCGGTCCTCGCCGCTCACTTCTCTGACTCGAGAGAAGCAGACCTTTCTGGCACACGGCACAGTTCCTACCGCGGTGACGATACGATAAAGAGATAGCTTGGCAAGGCCTCCTCGGCCCCCGTTTGTCTTCAAGGACACCTCTCAGCTTTGCTCGACTCTTTCCTCTTCACAGGTGTCGAATCACGGCGCTATGCATCTCGAGATCAGCGTCATTGCTGGACTGGTCCTGGCCGTTGGCTCTGCCCAGTCAGCGCTTGACGTAGGCCTCTCGCCGCTGCGCATCTTTCTTCTTGCTTTCATTGCTCAGTACAGTCTTTTCAAAGCATACCGCGTCTTCGTGTATCCCCGCTATGTCTCTGGGCTGCGACACTTGCCCGGTCCCACGGTCAGTCTGAGTCTGGCTCCTTCCCTCTGTGGCTGGACACCTTGACCGAGAAACTTCACTGACAGCGTCACATAGGACGGCCACTTCTTCATCGGTCAGATGGCCAGGCAGCTCCTCACGCCGGGGCCCGTGGACATCTTCCTCGACTGGATGCGCAGGTGGCCGGATGAGCCCCTGATCCGCTACCTGTCAATCGGCAACTCGGAGACCATCATGATCAACAGCCCAGCGGTGCTCAAGGAGATGCAGCAGACCAAGTCCTACTCCTTCTGCAAGCCGAAGATTGCCGCCCGCATGTTCAGCCCCATCACGGGCCACGGCATCCTCTTCGCCGAGGGCGAAATCCACAAGCGTCAGAGGAACCAGCTGAGTCGTCCGTCTTGCCCCCCATTCTTGGTCTTGAAGAGAAGCTCTGTACCCTCATCTAACACGGCCAAGGCCCCTTTTCTCTCAGCAACGTCAAAAGGCTCCTGCCCGTCCTCCAGGGAAAAGCCAGAGAGCTCAGCGCGGCCCTCGGCAGAGACATGGGTCCCGACGCCGCGAAGACCGTGACGGTGGAACCCTTTTTCCAAAAGGCAGCGCTCGACGTGCTCGCCATCGCAAGCATAGGCTACGACCTCGGCAGCCTCTCGACGGCGTCGGCCTGCTTCCACGCCGTCTACGACCGCATCATCCACCAGCCGCGCCTCGGCCACGTCCTCACCTTTCTCGACGGCCACGTGCCCCTGCGCGCGTGGCTGCCGTTGCCGCTGAACCGGCGCTGGCTCCGCGACAATGCGCTCATCCGGCAGATGCTCCTCGGCAAGCTGCAGCTGCAGAAGCAGCGCGTGCTGCGGCGGCGCGGGGGGCCTGGCGAGAGGCCTGACGGGGGCGCTGGCAAGGAAAACCATGTCCCCATCGGAGAAGGCCGCGACCTGCTGAGTTTTATTCTCGAAGAGTGTCGCGGATCGCCTAGGCAGGAAGACTGGGACGACCAAGAGCTGCTCGATTTCGTGAGTGGCCCTGATACCATTCCTCAGACTGCCATGCACCCTGTCGTGCTGACGTGTACCCAAAAAAAACAGGTCCTCAACTTCATCGCCGGCGGACACGAGACCATCGGGACGGCGCTCACGTGGGCGTCCCACGTCCTCTCGACAAGGTCGGACGTACAGGCGCAGCTTCACGCCGAGGTCGAGGCTCTCTACCGGGGCAAGCCGGAGGCAGCATGGAATCCGCAGTACGCCGAGATAGAGAGCCTCCGCCATCTGAACAATTTCGTGCGCGAGCTGCTGCGCGTCTACAGCCCGGGTATGTGGTGGACGTCGCGCTTCGTATGAGTTGAACCCAGCTGACGCCGATGTAGCCCTCTTCCTGCCGCGAGAAGCGTCCGAGGACGTCACGCTCGCCAACACGCTCATCCCCAAAGGCACCTTGGTCGTCATCGTGCCAGCGGTCACCCATTTCAACACGCACATCTGGGGCCCCGACGCCGAGGCTTTCCGTCCCGGACGATGGGACGAGCGTGGCGAAAAGGGGGAGCCGGGCCTGGCCCGTGACCCCTATTCATTCGTGCCGTTCCTGCACGGGCCCCGTGGGTGCATTGGCAAGGCGTTCGCCATGCTCACCCTGAAGGTCATGATCATCGAAATGGTGCGGGAATTTGGCTTCACCGCACCGCCGGGGCAGAATGGCGACGTGGAGTATGCCAACCCAAACTTCACCCTGAGACCCAAGGATCATCTGCGCGTCGTCGTCGAAAAGAGGCGCAAGGGCGACATTGTGACGGGTACGAGGTGAGAAAGCGGCCACGCTGCAGTGCGATGTCGGAGTGCTACCGCGGCAATTCACATTACAGTCGTGGCATGCGGGGCGTGTGGTGTTGGGGCCTCACAAAGTATTGGTATACCCTTTCTATAAATGTAAATGGCAGAGTATAATATACACGGAAATGTCAGAGTAAAATATACACGTAAAAGTCAAAGTTTGTTTCAGCGCCGATATGTCATGCTCATAGTGGCCCTGCTCACTCGAGGCTATGTTTCTGGATTAACTTTTCAGCGAGGATCGACCCGAGAATGTTTGGCGTAATTTGAGAGCAGATCACAGGGAGGAGAGGTGTCACACTGAGATCAGCCACTCTCAACCCCTCGACTCCCAAAACACAAAAGTCGGCGTCGACGCAGGCTTGTTCGTCCTGGCGTGTCCTCATGGGCGTGGCGCCAGAGTAATGACGCGCCGTCGCGGCAGACTCTCTGATGAAAGCGAGCACATCGGCTTCGTCGTCGCTGGCAGGTGCGCTGTGGGGACCGAGGATGTCGTTCGAGAGGGACGCCAGAACGGCAAAGAACCGGGTCACCATGCGTACAGCATCAACGGCATTCTGACGGTCGATGGCCTGTGAGAGATAGTTCGGGTCGACGAGCGGAGGTTCTGCGGCGTCTTTCGACGCCAGCTGGAGGGAGCCCGTAGAGCAGACGACTTGTGGATAGGCATTGATTTGGAGCAGTCGCCGACCTGAGCTGGGTGAGCCACTCGTTGGCAAGACACAAAATTCCCAATGCGAGGTTGCTGGATGCCTGATAAAGTCTTGCGAGCGCGGGGACAGAGTCGGTATATCCTTCGAATCCAGAACAGCATCCGACTGACCTGAGACAATGGGAAGAAGGCTGGGGTGGTCTTTTCCCAGGTTCGTCTCGAGGTTGAGAAACTGCCGAATGTGTGCTCGCATCGTCTCGGGGTCAAAAAGCCAATCTGCCGAGTCGGTGAAAGCCGGGCCAACTTCCCACAGTACAGGGATCATGATACTGTCTTTGAGAGCCTTGCCGATAGGGAGGTCGCAAACGAGGGGGATTCCGAGTGCAGCGAGGTGGTCTCTCGGCCCAATGCCGGAGAGAAGCAGAAGCTGAGGTGTACGCAGCGCACCTGCACATAAAAGAATCTCCTTCGAGGCACGGGCTGCATGGGGGGTCAGCTGAAGCGGTGAAGAGCTTCTGGCGTGTGGAGAGATGGTACCTGTTCCGTTGCTGGTCGAGATACCAGTGGCCTTCTTCCTATCGAAGATGATCCTGTCTGGTTGTGACAGGCAGTCGACAGTCAAATTGGGGGGCTTCGTATGACCAGCGAAGACGTGTTGGGGCTCGGATCGAGCACCTTGGCCACTGGCACGGTACGAGGCATCGCCAACGCTTTCAGCCCACGCATCGAGGTAGGCGTCCGACGTCGAGGCGCCACCGAGCGCATGTCCAGCGGCCAGCGACAACGCCCGGCCGCCGAGGTGCGCCTGAGGTGTCGACATCAACGGCTGGGACCAGCAGGAGCATGGATCGGCGGCGGGCGCAGTGCCATCCGGGCGTTGGGCATGCCAGGCTTGAAGATGGAGGACGCTGGGCCGGCTCGACGACGACGACAGACGTTGGGCAATGGTCACGGCGGATGGGCCATCTGTAGATTGTCCGTGTCAGCTGGGTTCAGCGCCGCAGGGCATGACGACGAGAAAGAGCATGTCAGCATTCTCGCACGTACCACCGACGACGATAAAGTCGAACCCTTTCATCGTTGCTTCGTTGGCGAGGGGCGGTGGGTGGTGAGGTAGATGGAGCGAGGAGGCCAGGCCCTCACATGTACCCTGATGATGATGTGCCGCCTCGCTCGCCAAGTGGTGGGACTCTATTTCCATTTATATCATCCCTTCTTCGCTGCTTGCCATATCGCATTCAGACTCGCGGTTCGGCATGCGCCGCAGCTGAGCGTCGTCGAGGCCATTGGCTGAAGGCGAGGAGGCAGGCTTGCCGCCATGTCAGCCGTACAGACTAATGAGGTACGAAGACTTGGCCATGCCACCGAGCCCAAGTCATCGATCGAGTGGGGCTCGTTGTAGGCCTGCCCCAAGAAAAAAATAAAATAAAGGTGAATCTACCACATTGGGTTGCCTTGGTGTCATCTTGCGGCGGATGTGCATGTGAGGCGCGGCTAAAAAGGAAGAGGGCCTTTACCTATCCGGGAGAATGGGATCGTGGGGGTGGGTGCTGGAGATATCGGGTCGACGAGATGGTGAGCGTCCGAAGGATCAGGAGTAAGAAGGCTTGGAAGCCAATGCAAGGCAGGTGTGTGTGCTGACATAAGGCACATGGAAAGCACCTGCCAAGTCCAGTCACTCGCCCGCAACCGAATCTGACTGGCCTTGTGCTTTTGAGCCGGTATGATTGGTCCATCTTTACGAGCACCATTTTGGCCAATCAATGAGCTTCCATTTCCTGCCCGCTTCACACCGCTCCTACCAATCGACAGACGTTCGTGCCAGCTGCGGCTTCTCACCAACTACATGATCCTGCACCACAGCTGCATCGCAGCCTCACCCACGGAGACACCGATCCAAGTCGGCATGGCGCCCTCACTTCTCGTCGCCACCATATGGGTGTCGCCGCTCGTATATAACCTGCAACCAGTAAGGACCTCCCAAGACATCTAGACGTCCCCGGCTCTCGCGTGGAACAACGACGCCAATGCCGCCGCCACAACGTCGTTCTCCCCTTCATCTCATCACCCCTCGCCGACGGGTCACACCATCTCGGTACCGACCCTTTGCGACGAGAGCCTCTGCATCGAGAGCCTCTGCATCGAGAGCCTCTGCATCGAGAGCCTCTGCATCGAGAGCCTC